CGAAAAGAAAAGAACAGGAACAAACAGAATAGACGAACATAAGAGCTGTTCGCATATGTTGAGCGCTCACAATTGATTTCTATCACAGTTTGCAGGCTACCACAGACCATGCAATTTACACATACAGAAAAAGGACAAGTACGGCTTTATCAAACTCTATTGCTTAAAGATCTTCTTCCTGGAATAGTTGTGTAAGTCTGACAATTCCTCGCATTCATTCTCACTAATTTACGGCGAATTCAATTAATTTATCTTTCCTTGGAGACAAGTAGGTTTCAGCAGAGCCATCTGGTAAAACTTTCAATCATCAACTATGTTATTTACGTGATTTGGTTTCTTCCTGAACGTAGTTAGAGTAGTAAAATATCATTGGCCTATGGCAAGTGTAACCTGTTACCTGCACTAATTGGTTTCGGTTTTTGAAACTAAAATATGCAGCATCCTGGATCTAATTGTGTTCAATAAGCTTCCTATGACGGCCAAAATTGTAATTCACATAAATTGGTGCTCTAGGTGCACACCAGTAATCCACATGGTGATCACTCGTAAACACGCATATGGTAGCTCGGTTGTACTTCGGTGGTTAGATTTCATGATTAGTAATGCCAATGTCGACTTTAACTACTTATACGTATTGCACCATTTTATGAACTACAACTACGTAATTGCTGAATAGTGGTGTCATCTTACCACAAGAATACTGAGTAGAGAGCCTATCAAAGCCATCACAAGACCTGAAATAAGAGAAGTGCAACTGAGGTGGTTAGGTTTACATTCTGATTAACAGGAAGTTAACGAATATGCGAGTACCAATTATAAATGCATTAAATACTATCAGGCCCTATTCTCCTTTTCTATTAGTTATCATGAGCAAACTTTCTGATAAACTCCTTGAACTCATAAATGTTGCAAGACACGGTGAAATATATAGTGGATAAAATTACCTTATGGAAGTTAATTACTAGGCTTTGAAGATTATAGCTATTTCATTATAGGGCTCGAGTGGTAAAGTTCTGCAGTGACCTAGCTTAAAGGGGTAAAGTAACTGCTTGAAGCGTAAACTTACCAAAGAACGGGATAAGAAAGGCGGAAACAACAGTAGAAATGACGAGTGCTGTTCTTAAAAGAATGAAACACCAGGAACTGTTAGAAATTCTAACTGGCAGCAGCTCCTCAATACTCCTTGCTAACGGGTTCATCAACAGGGCATATTTGCTCAATGTCAAGGAAGCAAAGAAGCAAATATAAGAAGTAACCACAAAATGATCAGAGTATATCCACAGAATTTTCAGAAGTAATGCACACATGAACACACACATATTTGTTCAAAGGATATTTGCTCAACGGGTTGATAACCTGTTAAAAAGCAACAAAAACAAGCTCAGTGAACCGTAAAACACACAAATATCCCATTATTAATTGAGAATCCACAATTTCACACTTACTGTTGTCCACAGTGCAACTTGGGACAGAAAAGCATGTGGTGGCATATTCAAAGTAATCTGTGACAGAGTGCGTTCACCAAACATGAGATATCCCATGACTGCAACACTCCCATATAACAGAACGCACAAGATAAAGCTGCATGAGAAAAGTGCAAGGCATAAGAATGAAGGTCAAGGAAGGTGAATGCACAAAGTTGAAAATAATTCATATTTATACCATATTATTAGCGCCTTGCTAAATTGTCGTCTGTCTGCCATGGATTGGTATATATTTGGAAAGACAGTATGCCCGGCAAAGCAAAACCCATACACACCAATTACAAGTGGAATTCCATTCCAGTGCACTGCTGGAGGGGTGTGATGGAACCCAACCCCACCAGCTGTACCAAGTAAAATCACGCATAGAACAATCAAAACTGTGACAATGACCCCACCAGCTGCAAAAGGAACCAACAAAGGATTCAGTTGATTGCATTGCATATGAACTCATTCATATTTTCAAAACATGGAAGCATCATGGCATTTAAAAGAAGAAGTTTGCGACACCTGAAAGGAATGAAATCAGACGAAGATCTTTCAACCAAACACTTGGCAGAACAATGAGGGCAGTTACTACTCCAAATAAGTGCATGGAGTCCAGCTGAAAACCAGCCCAATTCAAAGATGTTCCTGGGAATAGCCTGCTGAGATTATCTCCTTCCAAAATGATGAATTCTACACAATAAGACTGCATATATGGAGAAGAAATCATTTTGAGAATAAACCACTTAAGGTTCAAGTACAATGTAAAACTAGAATCAATATTTCACTTACGTATAGTTCTGCGTACAAAATGATCTGCACCGATATCAAAAGACCAAAGATATTAGAGAATACTGTATAAAAAAAATAACTGACATGGAAGATTTAATAAAATCATCCAGAAAATACATTGAATTTGTAGATCAATAAAGTTCAGAGATGCATAACATCCAGTATGAGGAATTGACTGACAGGAAATGCGAAGAATGAAACCATCAAATTGGCAACCAAACATGCTAATTAGACTGTTAAAAGTACTGCAAATAACTGATATGGAAGTTGCAACTTACAGAATTAGCTTGGTTTCATTTTCTGATCAGTCAAACCATATACAGTGCCAAAAAGTTTAAACTTACAGATATGAAAAGACGCCCATATCTTCCAAAGGCAGCTTCTCCTAAATCCGGGTAAGTTTTGATGCCTTCTTTACTCTCAAAGCAGTATCTCATGAGTATGGCCGTGTAACAACACACAACTGCAAAAAGAAGTAGCACCACGATACCTGCCCAGCCAGCTTCTTTCATTGTAGAAGGTGTTGAAAGAAGCCCAACTCCTGCCATTACATTAATTCCTGTCCAGAAAGATGTGACACAATGAATTCAAGCAAATACAGCCACGATACAAACGTTTAAACCTACAGAATGCAGAAACCAAATAGATCCATGCATTACTATTACATACAACCTTTGCTTTCTAATTATAGTATATTAGTAAGCAGAATCATATAAATTGAAGCAAATAAATAAGTGCATAAAAAGTTTCTCCCACAATCATTTTTCTAATATCGGGGGAAAAGTATCATATCAATCAAAGGAAACACCATTTCACCAACATCAATAACTTATATATCATACATGAAGTGAACAACTAAGATAAGAAAAAGGGCGACCCCACTCCCCACTTTGCGAGGGTTGGGGGAAGTGAACAACTCAGACCAGATGTTTAAATTTAAATCAAATAGCATACCATTGAAGACAGTTTGAGTGAAGCTACACCCATGACCAACAGGTATTTCTCCGGTCAGATGCTTATGCAGTGTCGATCTCTCTGATAATAATGATTGGTTTACTGAGAACCTTTCCGAATCACCCTTTTGAGGAAAACTTTCGTTGGTAGACACGAATGGAGACTTTCCAATCAGGTCTAAAATGCTTTTCGAGTAATTTGTAAAGCTTGCATTACTTGGAACAAATCCAAGATTCGCAATATTTGGTGATGCTGCAATTGAGTAAGAATCGATTGTCTCCCTGCCCAAAATAACATAAAGTACATAACGATAAAAAATGAGCAGTCAAGTACATAAACTTCAAAAGAAAATACGTCTAATAAAATATTACATAACAACTACATTCGAAAACAAATTAAAAATGCGTCTAATTAGTTTAGTTAGCATGCCTCATTGAGAACTTAATGACACCTATGATCTAGGACGACGGTATGGAGAGAATGTATGTGTAGTAAGCTATATATCATCTTTAGTAACCTAAGTTGTTCAATACTTACTCCATTACAGTAATGGTGGACCAATTTAACCATGAAACAATACAAGGAGCAGCTGCTTTATCGGTACTGCAGTCTATGAGCATACAAAATCCGTTGCTTCTATGATGGGTAATACTGTTAGGCTATAATGTGTCTCCTTCTCAAACACATTATTAACTAATTAATCTGTCACTTGCTGACCCATTTCTTTATCTTCTCCGTAAAATCAAGAAAGTTGAGGTTCCGCCGTAAAATCAATAGGCAGTGTGGGTGAGTATCCTTACTCTGTATAAGCACATGCAAGGTCCATTCTCTCCCGGGTGTCGGGATTCACACTCTCATCACACAAAAAACAGAACATCTTGGTAATTAAATTTTATGCAGAAAATGAATCAACATAACTTTTCATGAAAATTTTCGAGGATATCGAAGGGAACCAATTAAGAATGCGAACATGGCGGATCAATCAGGTGAATGAAGGCTTGAGTGAAAAACAATGAAAGGAAGATGTATATACACACACACACACACATACATACCTGTAACTCTGAGGCCATTTGTGAGAAGAAAAACTAACGGGAGAGGAAACCTCATGACGGACGCCATGGCTGCTGGTGGAGCTGCTCCCACTCTCGCTCTTGTTCTCCTCAATGTCATCTTCTTCGTCTTCACTCTCGTACAGAAATGGATCCGATTCTTTCTCCTTACCCTTCTCAGCCATTGTTGAGACTGCAATGTCACTCGTCACCCAAAACAGACACCACACACAGAGAGCCGAGAGGATGAATGAATTTGTACCCTTGTTAATAAATTGTTTAAATCAGGCACTGTGAGTTTGGCACTCCTAACAAATAACAAGATGCCACGTGTAGGTGTAGAAAAGGACCTAGCTACATCCGGAGCCTTAGCATCTTTAACAAATAACACAATGCCACATGTTTTGATTTTCTCACGAGTAGAGTAGTGATACAGTTACCGTTTATTTATATCATCTATTCTAGGACTGGGCAAACGGGTACAAGAACCGCAGGTCGGGGTAGGTAATGACGGTTTGGGACGGGTACGGACCGGTTCCTACTTTTAAAAAGGAGAAACGGGACGGGCCAGGGCAGGCCTTTGTAATTTTCGATTCGAGCCGGTTCCTGAAGTATAGGAACCGCGGGTACTCGGACAGGCCCCATTTGTAATTAAAATGAAAGGACCAGATTGATGAATAAGCTACATATCTAATCTGAACCGTTGTTTTAGTGTTACCCTAAGTTCTCTATCTCTCTCATCCCGATTCCCGACTCACTCTCCCTCTCTCAAACTCTCAGACGGACCTCAGTCCCTCGACAGTTCCCTTCCCTCGACTCCAATCGTCCTTCCCTCGACTCCAATCCCCTCACCAACCGTCGATTCTCCTCGGCGAATACAACGGCACCACCCATCAACCTCCTCGACAACATCCCAGACAACCAGGCCATCACGCTTGCCGTCGATTCTCTCCTCTTCGACAGCAACCCCCGCCATCGTGACCGCCATCACCCCATCACCGTCGTCGAGGACACTGGTACCAGCCATCATCCCTCTAAAATTTAGGTAATTTTGAATTAGCGTTTTGTTATTAATTTGAATTTTGGGTGTAGTGATAGGGTTTTTAAATTGGAATTTGGGATTTTAGGGTTTTCGAACTAGGTTACTAGAGTTAATTTTGCAGTAGATTGATGATTGAATTAATAATTTTGCAGTAATTTGGCAAGCTTTGATGCCTTCTAACTTCTAAGTTCTTAAGGAAATTAGATACTAGATTAGTAGATAGTTAAATGGTGGGCTCTTGATTATGGAAATCTGAAGTAGAAACGGAGTTACTTGCGCTACTCGATTGATCACGAAAAAAAATTGAAGATTTTTGTTAGGGTTGTGAATGGACAGCGGGTAGAGGATAGATGGCTGTTTTAGCATAGTGAGATTACCATTGTACGGTTAAAGGGTTATGCTTTTAGTTTTCTCTTTGATCAGTTAAATGCTAGAAATATGCGTATTAGAGGTAGTGAATAGTTGGTTAGACGTTGGATTATTTGAAGTTAGAGGGTTTGTGAATGTACTGGTACCTGCACAACTTTTTGGGTGCCCAGATCTCTCAGGAGTGTCAAAACAAGGCCTTGTAATCACAAAAGAAAATCTGGTTTCTTGTGTATACAGTTTGTACCTCATTTGATTTGTGAATTTTGTAGGAGACTAGGAAAGTTTTGTAAACCATGATTGAAATCGATAACATGTAACTTATCAAGCGGATCATCTTAAATTGTCTTTTAATGTTTCAGAGGTACTGAAGATCCTCATGGAGTCGATTCCAGAACTTTCAATGACTGTTGATCGCGCAAACACCACGGCATTGCACATCGCTGCAGCACAGGGACACACTGAAGTAGTAAGTTTTCTTTTGGAGACTGGTTGCAGCTTGATGTCCATAGCAAGAAGCAATGGGAAAACTGCCTTGCATTCTGCAGCAGGGAAGGGGCATTTGGAGGTGGTCCAGGCCCTCTTGAGCAAAGATACCGGATCTGCAATAAGAAAAGATAGTAATGGCCAGACAGCTCTCCATATGGCAGTCAAGGGACAGAATGTCGAATTGGTGGATGAGTTAGCGAAGGCAAATCCTTCGTTGATAAACGAGGTAGACAACAAGGGAAACACTGCCTTGCACGTGGCAACCGGGAAGGGTCGAGCTCAGGTAATGAAAGTTGTTAATTTGATATATAATATGCAAATGAAAATCGAACTTCTTTAAGAGATCAAATGGATCAATGCTTGTTACTGAGTTTTCGATCATCACTTAAAGTTGAATTATCATGAATATGTTATTCAATTAGGCTTTGGAACGTGGTATTAAAATGGTTATTTGAATCAATCATAGATTTAAGCCCTTGAGATTGGACTTTTACAGATTGTTCGAACGCTGTTAAGTTATAAGGGAGTGGCGAAAACCATCATTAACAGATCTGGAGAATCTATTTTTGACACTGCTGAGAGATCTGGGCACTCAAAGATTGCCAACATTCTAGAAGAGCATGGAATCCGTGCAGTTTTTTCAAACTACAATTTGTGCAATATGTGCAATTTTTTTCAAACTGCAATCTGTGATTTTTTTCATACTGGAATCTGTGTAAACTGTAAACTGGAATCTGTGCAGTTTTTTCAAACTGCAATCTGTGTAGCAAACATTTTTAAACAGCAAAAAAAAAACAAAAAAAAGACCTGTGTACCAGACCAAACCTGCTCGTTTCAACCGGGCCGAGTAAGGTCCGGTTCCTATTTTCGGAATTGTAATGCCCGGCCCGTCCCCCCAGGTCTCCTCTGGTCCGGTCCCTTTAAAAATGGGCCCAACCCAGCCCGTGCCCAGCCCTAATCTATTCTATACATATAACGGAAAAAGGCCAAATAGGTGATGCATGTCAAAATGCCAAGAAAGCTCTTTTGTTTTCTTCACAATCAAACCTTCAAAAGTAACTAGGACAAATTGGTATAAAAAAAACAAAACCATAATCGAACAAAAAAAACTGTATTGGAAATGAATAAATTAAAAAAATAAATAAAATAAAAGCATTATAGATATCGTATCCGGATCCTTTTTGTGAGGATCTTGGGGATTCGTCAATTGTGTCCGTTCATCATACATCGTGCGGTCAGAAATCATATTAAATTTATTTATTTAAAATTAAACACAAATAGTACTTGACAAAAACTAATCGCAAGATGTATAATGAACGAATACAATTCACAAATCCTTAAGATCCTCACAACGGAAAGGATGATCTTGTTGGATAGTTATCCTATAAAATTTAGCAGTTTTACGGTTAAAAAGTAAAACAAAGAAAAAAGTGCGTCCAATTCCTCATTTTCTTTTAAGGCCCTAAAATACAACATTTTAATCTATATATATAAAGGGAGAGCCCCAGTTTGGTGAAACATTCCAAAATACCAAAAAGATCCCTATGTTTCCTTCACAATCAAAATCCAAAACATCCAAAAAAGGAGGACAAATTGGTAAAAAAAAAAGAAAAAACTGAATAAAAAATTGTATTAGAAAACAAAATAGATAAATAAATAAAGAAAAAAGAAAACAGAATTTTAAACCAATACACGGAGAAGGCACATGGGGAATAGATTGGAAACTGCTATGCTTCTTAACCGGGAACCGTTTTGCGGAAAGAGAGACAAACGTGAACGTGCAGAGTGGGGTTGAGGAGGAAAAGAAACACCTAATCGTGCAAAAAGAAGCAGTTTTGCTGGATGAGAGATATATAGAATGACACAAAGTAAGAACCTGAAAAGAAAAAACTGAAACAGTTTTGCAGGAAGAGAAGATGATACAAAAGCCATTGCTTGCTCATAAATTTGAAGAGAATTACAGGTTGCTCTTCTTTAATTCCATGCAGTTGTTGGATCACCACACTCTTTTCATTCTTTCTGGTTTTTTTTTTTCAATGGATCACACAATTTGGTTCTAAGATTAGCATATAGTTATGTTTTCTTATCTTGCAGATTTATGAACAAGGATTGGGTATTTCTCTCTGGTGATTCTGTGGGTGAAGCCGGTTTCCTTTCTCCACTTTTTACTGATTTATCATCTATGCCATATAATTGTTTGGGAGTTTATTGGAATTTAATTCAATTCCTCTGTGTTTCATTTTTCTTTGGCACGCTACCCACTTACGATTGAAATCAAATTCGTATGGTCAGATTTTTCGGGGATAACCTTTTCTCTTCGTCCCCTGCTCTAGATTTTCATGTTTTAATTGTCTCCTTTCTTTCTTTCTTTCTCTTTTTATGTTTCAGATAGTAACTATGGGTCCTCTATACAGAAAGAAAGTTATCCAGATAAACATAGCGAAGGGAAGTGACTACTTGATTTACATGGCAACTGGAAGCGGCAAGTCCAATATTTGGTTTGTTTGACATTTTATATTTTGTTTAATGTGTATAGTTTAATGAAATGCCTGAGAAAAACCATCATGATCATGATGCTTGGTAGACAATTTGTACTAAAAAAAATGTTTGACAAACGAAATCCTGAGCAAAAGATGTCTGCATTGAAAAAACCTGCTCTTTGCATTCCTTTTTTATAGAGAACTTCTTTGCATGGTTGGCTGCTTTTTCTAACTCTTCTGATTAGATGAATTGTACTCGCTTTACTCTTTGTAGATATAACATGAAATTAGACATACGCTTTATGCATGTATAAGTAAAAACTTAAAATGAAAAATTATCGTTTTTATAGCTTAATGTGGTTGTTCCTACTTTTTTAGGTTCCTTTGTGGTTCCAATGGATTAAAGTTTTAGCACAAACACCAGCTAAAATTTATTACATAGCTTTTTGCCTTTTAATTGGTGCTTTGGTTGAACCTGATGCAGGATTTCTTGCACTCTGTCATGATCAGAACCTCACCTTCAATTGAGTATGCCTACATGCCATTTGACAACACTCCAATTGTTATTGAACCATTTAATACGAGCATATTATGCAGCTGTAGGACAAGTTGCTTCTAATAAAGAAGGTTTTAACGGCTAATGGAGATACCGAGAAGATGTGATTGAACAAAGATAAAGTGCCCAACAATATTGTTGTCTTGCCTATTGTTTTGAAGAGAGCACAAGAGTGTCTTTCAAATATTGACAAATTAGACCCTCAAAACAAAATCATATGTTAGAACATGCTAATACATGTTTTTTAATCTATCAAGATAAAGAGTAATATTTTTCTTAGTTTTATTCTTGGCGTGTGTTAAATATGACAAATGTGTAAGACGCCCGTTGTGCGCATGTTTAATAAAGCCTCTCACACGTAGTATATAGCCAATTAAAAGAGAACTGAATGTATTTATAAATCAAATAAAATAGAAATGGAGAAAAAAGAATACAACAAATGGAGGACATGTAGAACATAAAGCTTTTGTTTTCTTCTGTTCGTAGGCATCTGTATACACCTTTTCGTATTTGTGGAATGTCACAAAATTTGTATTCTATTTAGGTTCATTATGTTTATTAATTTTTTAGATAAATTTTTGCATGGAGCGTGCTCAAAGTCGTACAAGACAATGGCGTCAATCATTGAGTCCTGAAGAACGTCAAAGATATCTAGCTCGACGACGTCTAATAGCACAAGAAAAAAGACAACAAATTTTAACTCCAAGTGATGATCATACTATGACATCCCCCAGTAACATACAACAAGAAATTCCTGGTATTTATTGCATATTATTTTTTCTTAAACTCATAATTAAAATAATTAAAAACATCTAATTTCTATTTTTTTTTAACTATGCAACAAGTAGGTCCCAGTAATATACAAGAACGAGTTCATTTGGCTAACTATGATGTTGAGGTCAACCCCAGTAATATACAACAACAAATTCCAGGTATTTATTTAAATTTCTTTATTTGTATTTGTTTCACACTATAAAAATTAGGTAATTTTTAGAACACTATTTTGTGCATTGAAATCTCATTTTATTCTTTTGTTCGTACTCTCATATTGATCTCAATGTTGTAGTTATTTTTAGTGGTAGTCTTACAAAATATTAGACCACAACTAAATATATTAAATATTAAACATTAATTTTTTAACTAATCATATTATAATGTGATGTATTTATTAGAACAAATTGAGCATGAAAGCGCGAGTTCAAGGGTTCTGTCAGATATCACAAATCGTGATGACCAAACTTCTGCTAGAATGCGTACTCATATAGGCCAATTGACACATTCGAATAGGTCACAAATATATGATGGGATGCTCTCAACTGTTCCCCATAATGGTGAGCTTAGTATATAATTCTATCTATATATAGATATACTATTAGTTACAAAGGAAATTCTTATACTGAGTGTTGGATATTCATGTACAAATATCAGAAGAAGAACATGCAACTAGAACCAATCGTCATGTGCGGCAAAGTAGAGGAAGAAGAAACCACAATTGTGCTAGAAATTATAATGAGAATCGGGGTATCCTAGGTTGCCGCTTACCTGCTCCAACCACATGTCTGTACTGCTATGCACGATTGTTTACTCGAGAAACTTTGAATATGTGTTGCTTGAAAGGAAGAGTTGCTTTACCCCTAATACAGTCTCTACCAGAAATGGTTGCTCTTTTCTCTGACCAAACAAATGAGGGTAGACACTTCAGGCAAAATATTCGAGCTTACAATCACGCATTTGCATTCACTTCAATGGGAGTACACGTGGATGAAAGAATAAATATTGGTGGCCGTGGGATTTACACATTTCGTGCTCAAGGTGCATTATATCATAAGATTGGTGGACTTTTACCACATGAAGGAAACAGACCGCGATTTTTACAAGCCTATATATATGACACTGAGCATGAAGTTGAAAACCGAATGTGTGAAAGTGAAGTTTTAGATAGATGTGTGGTTGAAAAGATACAACATAACCATAATCCTTTTGTTCATACATTGCGAAGCCTCGGACAACGCCAAGATTTGCCGAATTGCAAGTTGATCCTAAAAGAGCAACCAATAGATCGGCGTCAATATAGTCTACCATCAGCATCACAAGTTGCAGCAATTATAATAGATGGAGATGATGCCACCATTGCAAATGGAAGGGATATCGTGGTCGAGACAATTAGTGGAAGACTTTCTCACGTCCGAGACTATGTTGGATTTTATGATCCGTTACAGTATCCATTATTGCTACCTTACGGTACATATGGTTGGGATGTTAATAGTCGTGATGATGGTGGAAGAGCAATAACATGTTGCGACTATTATGCTTATATGTTACAGGTTTGTACTGATAACATAATTTACTTCCCAATATATACAACTGAATGATGATTCCCATATTAAAAGCAATATATGAAATTTGCTTCTGCAGATACGCCATAACATCACTTTTGCTTCGAGGTGGGCGTCTCTTGCAACAATATGCTGTAGATAACTACATTAAAATTGAATCACAAAAACTTCAATGGCTACGTTCTAATCAAGCCACAGTTAGAGCGGATCTCTATAAAGGACTTCAAGACTCTTTAAATGCAGGTCAACACAATGCAGGTATATATATCATTTCAGTTTATCGTTTATTTAAACTTTGTTCAAAATCTGTACAATATATAGTTAATTGAAAATAAAAAATTAACAGGTAGCATTGGGCGTAGAATTATTTTACCATCATCATTTGTTGGAAGCCCACGTGACATGTACCAACGATATCAAGATGCAATGACTCTGGTTCAAAGATTCAGAAAGCCAGATCTTTTTATTACCATGACATGTAACCCAAGTTGGGAAGAAATCAAAAGTGAATTACTCGCTGGACAAACTCCACAAGATCGTCCTGACTTACTCACTAAAGTATTTCGTGCAAAACTTGAGCAACTAAAAGAAGACATCATTGAAAAGAGGGTATTGGGCAATGTTGTTGCCTACGCATACGTTATTGAGTTTCAGAAACGTGGTCTTCCACATGTGCATATGCTGGTGGTGTTAGATGAAAATGATAAGATCAATAACCCAGATGAGTATGACCGAATTGTTAGAGCTGAAATACCAAACGAAGACGTAGAGCCTCAACTTTACAATGTGGTGTTAAAGCATATGATTCCTGGCCCGTGTGGGATTCATAATCCTCAATCTCCATGTATGAAAAATGGGAGATGTAAGAGAAAGTATCCCAAACCATTTGCACCAGTCACTGTTCAAGGGAATGATTCGTATCCAATTTATCAAAGGCGAGGAAATCGATTGCCCGTCTTTCTTGATCGACAAGGAAACATAATGGTTGATAATAGTTGGGTCATTCCATATAATCCATGGTTGCTGTTAAGGTATGATTGTCATATCAATGTTGAAATTTGTGCAAGCATAAAAAGTGTCAAGTACTTATATAAGTATGTTTACAAAGGCCCAGATAGAGTGACAGTCAAAGTGCAATCACACCATGAATACGATGAAATAAAGCAGTTTCAGGATGCAAGATGGGTTTGCGCACCAGAGGCATTATGGAAGATATTCAAGTTCATTATTAATCGAATTTACCCATCTGTTGAGGGATTTCAAATACATCTTCCTAATATGCACCAAGTTCAGTTTCGTGCCGACGAGAGCATAATAAATATTCTACATGATGAGAGTACAAGAAAGACAATGTTAACTGAATTTTTTACACTTAATCATGTGGATGCAGAAGCGCGACGGTACGTATACATGGAAATCCCATCACATTACAGATGGATTCAAGCTCAAAGAAAGTGGTCTAAAAGAATGAATCGTAACAAGGTTATTGGACGAATATATGCAGTTTCACTTGCTGAAGGTGAAAAAATTTACCTTCGGATTCTTCTTAATCATGTTAGAGGACCAACATCTTTCACAAACTTGAGAACAGTTAATGGGGTTTTGCATCCAACATTTAAGCAGGCAGCAGAACAACGAGGTTTGTTAGAAAGAGATGACAGTATTCGACAATGTTTGCTAGAGGCCTCCACAATTCAAATGCCGTCGGCTTTAAGAAGATTATTCGTCACCATATTGGTATATTGTGCACCAATTGGTGTTCGAGGGTTATGGGATGAGTTCTATCCATTCATGATAGAAGATTATGTTTCCATGACTAACATAACTCCCACACTTGCTACCAACAGACTCTTGCGTGAGTTGAACATACTTTTGGTTCAATTTAATAAGAGTATAAACGAGTTTGATTTGCCCCAAATGACAAGAGGAAATGAATCAAGTTCAGGAATGACAAGATGTATTGAAGATGAGATATCCATAGGTATTCCACAACAAGATCTTGATGCAATTGAACGTTTAAATGATGACCAAAGAAGTGCGTTTAACATAATAATGGGTGCAGTTCAACGATCAGAGAATGCAACTTTTTTTGTGGATGGTCCTGGTGGAACTGGAAAAACTTACTTATATCGGGCATTGTTAGCAAGCTTGAGAAGGTTAGGGCACATAGTATTAGCAACAGCATCGTCTGGAATAGCAGCTACGATATTTCCTGGTGGGAGGACAGCACATTCTAAATTCAAGATACTACTTAGTCTTGATGCATCATCGATATGTTCGATTGGTAAGCAATCTGATTTAGCAAAGCTAATACAAAAGGCAAAGGCAATTATTTGGGATGAAGCAACAATGACGCATCATCATGCATTTGAAGCACTCGATCGAACGTTCAGAGACCTAACAGATATTGACTTACCATTTGGGGGGAAAATAATGATATTTGGGGGAGATTTTTGACAAGTTCTTCCTGTTATCCGGAAAGGAACCAAGTCTGAACTAATCCAAGCAAGTGTTGTTAAGGCATCATTTTGGTCACAGGTAAAGATTTTAAAACTCAAACAAAACATGAGATCCATAAATGATCGTGAATTTTCAGAATTTTTACTTCGTGTTGGTGATGGGAATGAAGATGTTATTATGGATGATATGGTAAAACTACCTGAATGCATGGTGATACCATGGGAGAGTGAGCATTCCATTAATCAATTAATTGCCAAAATCTTCCCTACTTAGAGGATCATATGAATGATGCAACCTACATGGTGGAAAGGGCAGTGGTAACTCCTACAAATGAAGACGTTGATATGTTAAATGAAAAGATAATCAATATGTTTCCAGGTTTAGAAGAGACAATGTATTCATTTGATTCAGTTGAGGATGATGAAAGGAATTTGTATCAGCCAGAGTTCTTGAATTCAATCTCACTTGGTGGTTTGCCTCCGCACAAGTTAACTCTGAAAAGAGGTGCTCCAATCATGCTTTTAAGGAATATTGATCCGAAATTGGGATTGTGTAATGGTACAAGATTATTGTGTCGTGGTTCTTACCGAAATCTTATTGATGCTGAAATTCTAACTGGACAATTTGCCGGATCCAGAGTTTTCTTACCAA